CACTTCTGCAACATTTTCAACGATTCCGTAGCCATGATTCCTTTAGAAATTCAAAATTTCAAGCAAAATCGTTGTTGAAATTTTTTTTCATGGTAAAAATCGCCAGACAAACTTTTCGCGTCGTAAACAAACAGCTGCCAAAAACACACTATTTGACATATGAAAATTAAACTTCACACAAACCTAAGAAAGAGTTGTCTAATCTAGGAAAAAAAAATTTCGGTTGTTGAGGGCGCAGTTTAAATGAACCAGTCCTAGTCAAATTTGATTACGTGAAAATCTAATAGAAGAAAGCTGATTTAAAGAAGTAATAATACAACCTCGCTTGACTACTAATTTTCATTCACAATAAGTTAAGAATTTAATTTTCTGCCAGCAAATTATTGAATTAACGACAGTATGTGATTAAAATAATGAGTTGACTCTTATTGAAAATATTAAATTCGAAGAATTTGATTTTAAAATATATAATATTAAATTATGTGTAAATAAAGTCTTTATGGGTTAATAATCAGAGAAAGTATTAAATTTATCAATATCTTTAATCTAGTTCGAATTAACAATTTTTAGTTATAAATATCATCTTTTTACAAAAAGCTTCTTATAATTCCTATTGGGCAGCACACACATAAGTCACGGAAGGTAGCAAAAGTAACATAATATTTAAGGAAGCATAAAATGTGACGACAGCACAATAGCAACAGAAGAAGAAAAACCACACACATACATCCATATATGTCTGTGTATAATGAAAATAAATTAATTTGTGACTCAAGGAGTTAGCATGCAACATGCTGCCTGCTGATTATGTTTGTCGTTCAACATGGGTTCATTAGTGGATCGCTGTTTGATGCTTGCAACAGCAACTAAACGTCAAACGCTAAATGAAAAGCAGCAATAGAAATACGACACCAACAACAAATAAGCAACACCGACTGTTGCAGCATGCATGCGTATAATTGTTGCAAATGTGCAACAACTGCTGCTGCCACAGCACGCTACATGACGGCCAACAAGTTGCACGCTGTGCCCATGTGCACCAACCCATCTATATACTCGTATACATGTGCATATGTATGCGTATGTTTGTGTGTTGGTGCGATTCATAAGTTTTCCGCAAAAGGAAGCGGAAGTGTTTACGCGGCTGTCGCACTGTCAGTGCAGTTGATTAGCAAAAAATGCTCAAATTAAACGCCCATTTGCTTTCAGTGGATTTCGTTAAGCGATTTGCCGAGGATTGCAGATTCGTTATTGTCCATTGCACTTTGTCAGTAATTTCGTGGTAATTTTCTTTGGTTTTCCATATTTCACTTTCCACACATTTCCAATGTCTGTCGGAGCTTCCGCAAATTGAAATGCTAATAAATTGCGCGGCGTCATTGCCCTGACTAAATTTCGTAGCGAACGGGCGATGGGTGGAGCAACAAATGTGCAGATATTGTAAATATTGCAAGTAGTGAACATACAGTGGTGTCTAATGTATTAGGGATGGTGATTTTTTATACTCTTGCAACACGTTGCGTCAGAGTATAATAGTTTTGTTAACTTGCTGCGAAGAAGTAATTTTATCACCTCTTCAAACTCTGTGAAATGAGGTAAAATCGGATAATAACCACGCCCACTCCCCATATAACGGTTATGTTAAAAACTACTAAAAGTACTATAACTCACGGAATAAATGAGCCACAAACATAAAATTTCAAAATCAGGATGGTAGAGAAAGACTTTTTGGGATTTGGTTTGAAAATTGGACAGGGGGCGTGACACCGCCCACCTTTAGGTGAACTAATATATCTCAGGAACCACTCGACCAATTTCAACCAAATTTGATGTGTGAGGTTACCCAAACATTCCTATTAGACACTGCAATGATCGGATGACAACCACGCCTAATTCCCATATAAGATACTTTAGAATTCCGTCTGATTCTCTCACTTTACAGTATACAACTCAAACATCAATAAAATTATCAGAATAAAGCTTTGCACAAATAGTGCCCTCAAGGTAGGTCATAGGTCCAAAAAATCGCAGCTTCGAAATCGCACTACAACTTATGCCAAAGAAGGGTAAAAGCAGGCCAACACTTCCCTTAGTCTCTATATACGTAACACAAATATTTTCGAACCCCTGTTTACTTTATACCGCATATATGGGTCAATGTGGTAGAAATCTTAATTAAATTCAGAACATATATTTTTTTTGATTATGTTTATGCGGGAAAAAACCATCTATAGCCACTCTTAAATTGTGTTTCATCAAGAAAACCCAATAAAAACGTTGACAAAATAGTATGCGGTTTTCGCTTAAAATCGGTTTATTGTATTCTCCTGGTCTGGCCCCCATGACTTTTCCCAAGATCTCAAATAAGAGGTAATCGTTGAGACTAAGTCCTATTTTGAAGCAAACTCGTACTACAATTAATTAGAAAAGTTGAAAAATCGCAATAATAGATCGGTGGTATAACACTTAATTTTCGTTGTCCGAAAAAATTCAATACTTAATGTCTCCTATGATTTTCAGTCTATAGACCTGGTCTAGAAAGAGTCTAGATTTAAACCTCTTGAAAAACGTATGGCGTGCAAAGAAGATAGAAAAGTTATAATTAGTGTAAAACGGCACTTTTATAAAGTTTGAGTTTAAGAGTAAAATTTTAAGGCTTTTTTTCGAGGAAGCATAATCTCATAGCTTTAATCAAGTTACTCATCTGCTTATATTCTTAAATATAAATGTATAGCAATTTAAATAGCATCTTGTTGCTTAGAATGTTAAGAAAAGTTTCTTGCACTAAATAAGTGCTGGAAGTCAAAAGCCTCCAATCCTTTATCATGTTTGGTGATCTTCTATACTTGCAAATGTTGACTATACTTTTTTAACTCATGCTCTGCACCTATACTTACCAATGTATAGTTTTTTTCAATACAGTAATAAACTACGAAATGTTTCATGTACTAAATTGGTAACCTACCCATTTTATATACCTAAATATGACTTTTAGTAAAAATTCAACACTGGCAAGTATCGCCAAAATATTGTTTTCCTATATATGCAATATATTATATATTTAAAATATAACGGCAGTCAGACAATAGATATATTTATGGTGGGGAACGGAATTGGTTATAACATAACTACGCCGCTGTTTAAGAGGAGATAACCTTTACATACATATTTCTCGAGATTCCCTCTCGTGAAAACTTCAAAAAAATTTATTTGAATATTTCTTGATCCCTAAAATGCATTTAAACAACCATACACCTAGCACTAGTTTCATAACTACTTTTACTAAATAATTCCTTGCTTTCGAAGGAGCAAGAAATATTTTCCAATTTTTTTAGACGACCTTCTTTTTGATCCGCTACTGTGTGCTGTTTGTAGTTTGTAGTTGTATGAATGAACTGTTTTTATGAGAATTGAAGTGTGATTTCCTGGTTATGCAATTGGTAAGCCAAATAAAGCTTTAGCAAAATCCAACAAGCATATACATGCATACATTATGTTCGTATGTGTGCAATATTATTTAAAATCAAATTAAAGATTGACATAAGAGAAGAAAGCGCCAACAATCGATTACTTGTAAAAAGGGTATTAAATAAAACGATTAAATTGATTGGAAATTGGCTGAAGCACACGAGCAGAACGTTACGGCATATGGAGAAATCAAACGACGCTTTGTAATTTTGCATAATTGTTGGCAGTAAACCATTTGATTACTGTAAACAAAATGTAGTCTATAGACTAGTTACAAATATGCTGCTTTAAAAGTGGAAAGTGCTCTCCAAAAAATGAGTTTCTGAAATGAACCGATTTAAATATTTTTTTTTATTGTTCGTTGTAAAACTCGTATGATTTAAAACATTTAAGATTAAACAGAACCTGTTGCCACCTGTTTCAAATTTATAGGTAAAAAAACTGTAAAATAAGTAATCGCTACAAAATAAGTATTAAACGGAAGAGGCTTAAACACTACTTACAGTTGAAAATATTTTTGAAAAGGGTTGCCATCTTGTTTTTAGGTAGAAAAGGTAGAGCTTAAAATGGCTATCAAACATAAGAGAATTACAAAACCTTTATTTAAAAATATTTTGGATGAGAGTTGCCATCTGTTTGAAATTGATAGGTCAAAAAGCTTTAAAATAAAGAGTCGCACAAAATGAATAACTATCCAACGGAAGACGCTGACAGAACTTACAGCTGAAAATATTGTTACAGAGGTTTGCCACATGTTTAAAATATTTTTTTCGAATAAAATTAATAATAGAGATTAATAATTTCAAAATATCATCATACTATAAATCATCAAAAAGAGTTTTGAAGTAGATTATTTTGAAAAGAGTTGCCAACTGCTAAAAATAAACAAACTTCATAAGATAAAAACGTTAAAACAGCAAGCTGAGAAGGGTAGTTGAAACAACATTTTTGTGTGTACATATGTTCAGGAACATAGTTCAATAAAACATATTTCTCTTACTAAAATGTCTTTTACGAGTTGCCACCTGTTTAAAATTTTTAAATAAAAAAATAAATGAGATAAGGAAACGCTATAAGATGACAATTAAATTAAAGAGGGTTTGCAAATTATACAATTCAAAAAATTTTGAGGAGAGTTCCCAGTTTTAAAAAGGTTCAAAAAAGTTTATAAGATAAAGTTTTTTTCCAATATGGATGTCAAACTGAAGAACGGAAGCTTATAGCAAAAAAAATATTTTGAGTAGGGGAATTAAGTTGATAAAATCTTAAAATATGGCAAGGTTAAAAGTTAAAAGGTTTTGAGCAGAGTTGCCAACTATTAATTATTGACAATAGGTATTACGATATAAACACCAAACAAAAGCTACTTGCGAAATCGACACTCTAGTTTTTAACAAATTTTGAGTACATTTCTGATGAGTTGCTAATTTTTATAAAAAAAAAAAGGATTTTGATGAGTTGTCAACTTAGAATTTTACTTAATTTTCTACTAAAGAGACACCCTGTATCAACAAAACATTTCTAGGACATACCATGCGAGTGTTTTACATTAGCCAATGTAGAGTTGGTGATTGCGACGCACGCGTTCGCTGGGTTGATTGTTGCTGACGCTGACGCTGCTGTTGCTGTTGCTGCTGAATGATGGCGCTCCCCAAGACAATGCTCAGCAACCAACGATGATATGGTGGCTCCGTTATTACGTCCAATGTGGTGTCCACTACCGTTGGTGTTGCCGTTGTGGCTACAACTGCTGCCGGCCGAAGAATTTGAAGAGCAGCCGGATGAGGACGATGAATGCGATTGACAGAATGAATGGAGACCGCTGTTGGAGTACAATGTACCTCCACCATTGCCGAGCGCAATGATATGTGCGGCTGTAACGGCTGCTACACTGCCGTTACTCGCTGTTATAGGCGATGTCGAAGCTATGGACGACGATGAAACGGACGAGGCGGGTGTCGACGCCGCTGATAAATTGCCAGTATTGCAAACGATACCGCCGCCGTTGATGGATTGCGATGTTGTTGTAGTGTTATTGTTCGTCGAGCCCAAATAAGCGACGCAATTAGACGGTATACCTAAAGATGGAGTGCCGCCATTTAGTGGGGCCGCTGATTGTTGCTGATGATAAAAGGACGTGCAATCATCTGTCAACAATTTCAGCGATTCGCTAACTTCCGCATTTGTATTGCAGTGAGAATTTATCGTATCGGCAATGTGTAATTGTGCTGTTGCTGCCGCTGAGGCTGTTACCGTTGTGGACTCCTCGCTTAGGGTCTCTACACCTCTTAGCACATGTATTTGTGTTGGCGGTGTGGGTGGTGAACTGGTGGCATAAGCATCGGATTCAAGCGAGCCAGCGTCACTGAAGGCGCCTTGCGTCGACGAATCGTCGGGCGTGTCGAAGAAGTGCAAATTGAAATCGGAATTGGCGTCAAAACTCACTTCGGGCAAGGGATCATCTTCGTCGTCGCAGTCGTCATTCGCATTTATGCTATTGAAAAGTTGTTGCTGTTGGTGCTGCAGCTGTTGACGGTGTTCGATTTGGTGTAGGTTATGGTTGTGGTTATGGTGATGTAGGTGGGTGGTGTGTTGCGGTTCGCGATTGTCGGCGCCACCGGCTATGCCGCCGGGCGTATATAGATTGTGTGTTTGGCTACTGTTATTCGTGCTGTTGTGGCTTTCAACGAGACTCGAATGGATATGCGACTGCTCCAAATCTATTTTGAATACATCCATGTTTCGCTGTTGTCATCCTCCATCGTCAACATTGTGTGGATAAGCGAACGCAGCGATGTAATCAAATTTTCCTTAGAGCGGACAATGTTTTTCTCTTTTTTTTTTAGTAGTCACTAGGCTTGCACTTAGGAAACGATTGTCAATGGATGCTGACGCATGGACTAAGATTACGTTCGGTTCGAGTTCGTTCACGAAGCGCGCACAAACAAATGTAATTATTCACGAAAGTATTAACGAAACATAAATTTATTCGCAGTATTTTTTTTTTATTTGCAGTTATTTTTTTTTATGTTAGTAGTTTTTAACTCACTTATGTTTTTTTTATTATTATATTAATTAGGAAGTTTATTCTTTATCATACCATATTAATATTCTGTTCATTGAGCTGATCTGTGGCTGTGGATACAACAAGGATTGGCCGAGTACTTGAGAATTCGCGAAATGGCGTATACATATACTTACGGATTGCTCGGAACTGTGATTCAGGTGGGGACGAAGGGATTAAATTGTTATTTTCTGATGTTTTTAATAAAAAAAATATATATAAAAAGATTTCAGTCTAATTTACAACTTGTCTTTAAGACTATGGATATTAAGTGGTTGTAAGAAATTATTGTTTAACTAATAGATACAGCACCTTCGATAGGATTTTTTTGCCATTCTGTTTGCTTAAACACTCCATTTTCATATTCAGAAGTATATTTAAAAATATGACTACTTATTAACTCAAAGTGATAATATAATATTTAACTTTAACGTTCAAAGAATTAAGTTTGTCCTCCAATAGAAAGGCCATGGGCTATCTGGCTGTTGTTAGCTTAGATCAGTTTGCAGAAAATTTAATCAAAAGCATGTTTCAAAAATATCGGAATCCGACACTCAAAGAATAAAGCACGATCAGTCAGTTGAGTCTAGTCAAAACTATTTAAAAATTATGAATAAACGCTTTAGAGCTCGAAATAAGTTACCAGTAAACCATTTTTTAAATATTATTAAGCCGAACAACTTCACGACGTATGCAATTTTTTTCCATTAAGGCGAATAATGCAAACGCAGTGTTATCTCTAGTTTTATTACTTCCATGTGAAATACTTCTGACGAAATACAGGCTAAACCATCTGGCGATATCTGTGAAAAATATATGCCATTGCAATTTAAGTTAAATAAAAATTGGCATTGATTGGAATTCGATTAAATGTGATACATAAGTGGCTGCCAAAGGAGATTAAAACGTGAAAGACCTGAGAGTCATTTGATTACTTTTTCTAATCTTTAATAAGTGTTCTGAACTTTTCCAAATTTAGAGAGTTTTATCAAACATTTGTTTAATTTTATATGGTGAAGAAGTATTAAGTCTGATCTCAAGTAAACTTTATATTATGACTAGACACCGAATTTTCCTGAAAGTAGTGCTCTTTCTGGCTTACCACTCACCAGCGTAGAGATCGTGACAGTTGTTCATCTCTCAGGATATTACAAAACTCTTCTTTGCGTAATATATTAAGGGCCTAGCAACTAAATTGCGATATCGTCTGACCACACTAGAGAAGTGTTTGTGAAACTAGCGAAAGGAAGAAGCAACTGAAGCGTTATAATTAACAAAGCTATTGTAGAGTCAATCAAAAAAAAGAAAAGTAGAATGCTTATTTCGGAGCTACTCATACAAGGTTAACTAAAATTTCTGATTAGTAATCCTCAATTTCAGTACTATCCGAATTAATGTTTCCTTTAATTTCAACACCGATTATCGTACATTAATTACAACAAAACTTTTTTTTAACATTGAACCTGATATTTGTAGTTCGCAACGAAGTTTGTAAAACTCAGAAAAAAAATTGATAACCCTATTAAGTGTATATGTATATGTTTGAATGAACTGCCTGACAAGCTGTGTCGATTTAGTCATGTCCGGATGCATAGTATAAGTGAACTAGTTCTTCAGTTTTCCTCAGTTCCTCAGAGATATCGATTTGAAATTTGGCACATGTTCTTTTCGGACCACTATAGCATATGGCTGGTACAAGGTATATACAAAAAACAACGGGAATTTTCGTATTTTGAAAAAAATTGTACTCATTGGTCTACATTGATGGTGTCGTCTTCTAAATAGTGAACATTCGCCATCGTCAAAACAACTCTCCAACTCGATTTCTTCCACCGATTTTAATCTATCCTGTAAAACGACGGCACTTTAAGATTTTATTTATTTTTGGAATTATTTAAAAGTCACAAGGAGCTATGTCTAGCGAATACGAAATCATCGCATCGTTACAATATTGTTTTTGGCCATTTACCGAACAAGCAACGAATTATGAGATTTTCAAAAACGAGAATCGCCAAGTTCAAAACATCAGTCCAACCTTAGCGGCTGCTACAGACAAAGTAAGCAGTAAATACAGCTGAAAGTTGTACCGTACTTCAGCGATAAGTATATCAATATAATAAAAATAATGTTGAGAACTGGACTCTTCAAACCCGGAAAAATTTTGCATGTTAAAAAGGGCGTTATTTTCTGAGCACACCTCATATTGACCAAGATAATGCTTAAATCTCCGAACTTATTGTTCACATCAGACCACTATAACAAATAGCTGTCATACAAACTGACCCATCAAAATCAAGATAAACATATTTTTATAACACTCATGCTATAAGAAATTCAGCTGTGGAGGGTATTATAGCTTCGATGGAGCCGAATTTAAGGTTTTTTCTTGTTTTTGATTAAAATTGTCTTAAATAGTTTGACTAAAAGATAATTCGTTATCGCGTAAGACCCTTTTTACATCGCTCGAAAAAAATGCAAAGAAGTGAGTTTGAACCTTCGAACTGGAAAAGTATGTGTTATCAAATTTGCTTTACGTTAGCATGTCTATTATTGGAAAAAAAAATCAATTTGTGTTATCGGTTAAAAAAAAATCATTACTTAAAATTTTATTTACATATGTACATGTGTAGAACACATTCATAAAAAAGTGGTTTCTATACAAGTTTTGCATTACGAAAATAATTCCAAATATCGCTCCAAAGTCCCTAAATGTAGTCTTAATTGTCAAATGTAATAAGGGTTTCGGGGTCTTAAATGGGTAGCATAAAAACTTGTATACACTTCCTGAATGATATGAATTCGTAAAAATGTTTGAATATTCATTTTTTATTTATCCTTGTGTATCCTTCCACTTGACTCAAAGCTTTGAAAATAACAAAACAAAAGATCAGAGTTTTTAGATATATTTCCACTACAAATTTAATTCACAAAATTAGCACTTCCTTCACTATAAGCTTTCACTTCCTGATTTGAGCTTGAAAATATTTCGCAAAATCAATTTGAATTTGTTAAGAATATTGAGTTTAATTCTTCACACGCACAACGCGTTGCGAACGCGAAACTAAAAACACTCGGTTGCAACTTTCAAAAATCGCAGCGAAAGACACAGGTCGTGTCACGCAGTTCAGTTCAGTTTATTTGTTTGTGCGCACTTTGCTTAGCTGGCGAGGCGAAAACTCTAGTCTTGAATTAAAGTTTAGATTTAGATTTGGAAGTTAAGCGCATCCATGCGCGCGCGCCGCCATTAAATGTATTGGAGGAAGAAAAAGTCCAGCCACGCAACGTTCGTACAAACGGCCGACGAACGAATATACGGAAGCGAACCGTAAGCGCGTAAAAGTCGATAGATATACTAGTGGACAAGCCTGCGAGAATTAGCGTGCTAGCGAGCTAAGCGTTAGCGTCGAAGCGCTCCAAATGCGCAAACGAAATCCAAACCAAACCGTAGAACCTTCGGGTATAGAAGAATAAGAACAAGAATTCGATTCCCTGCTTGCTCCCGAACTCCCGAGTTGGTGCAAGCGAATGGGCGCGAACTGGCGAAGAACTAACCACACCAGAAACGGCAGCAACAACAGCAACAACAAATCACTCATGCAAACACACAATACATACACACACTGACAACCGATCGTACATACATACATGCACACGCACAGAAATGCCATGCAACGCCGTTGCAACAGCGATTTCTACGTTTTTGTTGTTGTTGGTTTTGTTATTGGTTTGCCGCTGCTGTTGTTGCCGCCACTACTTTACTGTCACTATGTTGTTTGCTTTTGTTATTGTTGTCGGCGTCGCTGCTACTGCTGCTGCTGCTGCCGCTATGGTTCTAGCGGCCACTCAGCCCTGGCAATGCCGCGCAATCGTCTCGTAGTCGTTCATGTTATTGCTGTTGTTGTTGTCGCCATCGGATCTCTGCAAGCAACTTTGCTTATGGACACAGCGCTACTCCACTCCGGCTGTCTAAGACAGCACATTGCTGTGCAGCAGTTCCTGGTTGTTGTTGTAATTTGTGCTGTCTTAGTTGTTGTTCTTCTCTATCTATCTAATCTATTAGTAGTACGATACTCAGTCGGCTGTAAAGTAAATTTTATGCAATGTTGCGGAGGCGGCAAGTGGCGGTGTGCACGCGGTAAGAGCAAGTCCCTTCTAGAGAAGCTTCCCTGCCCTCTCTCCGCTCTTCCGCAACTACTGCAGCTAAAAGAAAAATCAGCAAAGAGTCAAGCAACTCTCAATTGGGACTTTTCCTGTTTTTCTTCAGCGATTGCTGTTGCTGTTTTTGTTGTTGTTGCTACTCGCTATTGCTGTTCTTGACTTGTGCGCCGACTGCTATTTTCAATTTCTATTTCACAAAAAAAAACAAACAACACAAACAAAAATCAAGAGAAAAATAGCAAAAACAACGTGCATTGCAAATACAAAGCAACAAAAAAAACACAACAAAAACGAACGGGGAAAACAAATAGCAAAATAGACAAGGCAACAACTTCAAGACTCAAGATCAATTCCACGCACACACACACAACACACACGCACGCGTTCAGTCAACTATTTTCACTTACTTACACGCGCTCACACAATCGCAAGCAGAGAACCGTTACGGCATGAGTGGGCTGGCGAGGCGGCAGACAGATCATTTGCTGCCGTTCCTCCGGCGTCTACTGCTGCTTCTTCTACTGCCTGCAACAACAACTCGCGGCTCTTCGACTTCACTTACAACTGCTTTTACTTGCAATTTGATGTTGTAACTATTTGCATTTTGTTGTTATTGTTAGCTTTTTCTTATACTCGCTTTTGTTGCTCTCTGCTCACAGCACACTCACAAACACCTACATACTTACATGGAAGAAAGTGCATTAAAACCCGCTGCCAATTGAAATGGCTCTTTAAAAGGAAAAACTTACACAGCAACTAAATTGAAGAACAAGACGAAGAAGCCACAGCCGAAGAAGAGTGAGGGAATCGACAAAGCAGCAGAAGAAAATTCAACGAAGCAGGAAGTATTTTGCGATTAGCGGATAATTTCATTTTCTGGATGCAATGAATGCAGTCGGACAACAATTGAGCGCCAACGTTCACTTATCAGCACACACACAAGCGCACATACGTATATAAATACATACATACATGTACATATATGTATGTGCAGTGGCGGCAATTGCAAAAACATGCGCACAGTTGTTGTGATGAGAGCGCATTTTTGCTGGGATCAATACCCGACAGGGTCCCCATTGAAGTGGGCGGCGGCAAAGAGAAGGAACAGCTGTCTGGCGCGTTTGATGGAAATTAGATACGAACTCCATTAGAAGCTAAGAACACATAAAGTAAGATATGCAATGCGACCATATATAAAATAATGTACTCTCTTTTGAGAATGACTGCTCAATGTTTTTTGAAAGGATTTATGATTTCATTAAAAAACGGGTCCGATAGATATTTTTTTACTAAAAAATGGAAATAAGTTAGATATCGTTTATCAAAATTCTTAGACTACATAATTATATTTTACATTTCAAATGTTTCTTAGATAAGTGCATTAAGTTCATAGTTTCGAATCGAATTTCAGCGAGCAATATCATAATATTATATTATATAAGGTATGTACTCTTATATTAAAACGAAATCAATTATTTTTGTATTAAAGTGAAGGATATAATAGTTAGGTTAAGTTAGATTACGTTATAGGGTTGCTCATAGATCGACGAAGTGTTTTGAGCCAACCACAAATTTGTTAAGATGGCTAATATTAATACCAGCCACTTCGCTAGGTCCGTCGAAGGTATCTCTAACGAGATATTTCACTTTTAGGGAAAAAGCTGGCTAATAGAGTAGAAAGTGACATGATGATTCCATCTCGCCCTCCTCCATACAGCTTTGTTAAAAAACGCCTGACAAAATATGTATCCGCACTGCGTGTTAACCTTTTAAAAAGTGTTTTGACTGGACATACCTACAACTGCGGCGAGTTTGACTTTGCTAAAGGTAAGTAGTTCAGAGGACCTCACTCTGGGATAGAAAGATATCGCAGCCGCATGGTTGTTGAGCTTGGTGCTATTAATTTTGTGGTCATGCACTCCTTGACTAGCTTTGACCGCACAGACAGAAAAAGCTTCCTGGCCGTCAATCCCGTCAAGGCCTCCATTTGACCAAGACCGTTTTCACTTGACGTTGATTTGGTTGTGATTCAGGAGCGATATGGAGATAAACATATGTTTCATGAGTTATACTTTACCGATATTTTCGACAATTGGCGTGTATAATTGGCTGTTAGGGTATCAGGACCATAAGCACTATTCACATTTTCAGCCACCTGTCTTACGTTTTCAGCTTTATGGAATAAATACTGTATAAAAGGCGTATTATCTCTACAACGCGAGATAGAAAATACTAAAGCGTTTTATTGGGAAAATTATGAATTTATTTTTAATAGACCTAATATTATCCCATCTATCTTTAATTTCTGAAGATTCGGTCGTAGGTTCAGTGATCTTTTGTTTTAAGACTCAGCAAAGTTGTCTACATTTCTTACAAGACAAGATTTTACTCTCGGGTTTCGAGTTGTTGTTTATAAAAATTTTCCTTAGTAAGAGAACATTATGGATTTTCTTTCAAACCCTATTGCTAATTTAAATCTTGCACTATAGTTGTAAATCTCTAAATTATCTCTAAAACTAATCTTAACTGTTCTGTTCTTAATGGCTCTACCTTTATATGATTGAAAAACTTTTAATGACAATAAAGTTTCTTCAATGAGCATTAGCTATAATTTGGAAAGATTTTGGTTTAAACATAAACAGAGTTTATTAAATTACTTTCAAAGGATGGTCTATATTTTAACAATACCAAACTCTCTCGACTCGTGGGAATTTTTCTCTCAACACCCAAAAACATTCAATAAATTTAAAAGCGGTAACCAAATACGTATGAAGGGTATGTAGGTTACGTAGATCCGACTAATAGGTCACGGGGAATATTTTGACACACCTTTGTTGATATTTTAACCTATTCTCATTCCAACCTTACTTCGATAGATAGACGCTGTTAAGGGGCACACCTAGGATGACAGCTTTAAAAAACGGCGGTTTTTGGCAAATTTAAAAAAACGAATGTATCGCTTACGATTTAAAATTTTAGGGGAAGCTTTATACTCGTGTATATTTTAAGAATAGACAGTAAAATTTTTGAAAAAAAAAATTAAACAATTTTTGAGTGCTAAAATAAGCTCCTCCACTACTGCAGTGATTTCGGCCTTGTACGTGAATGAAACCTAAAAAAAAATTCTCACCAAATTTTTAAAGAGAACTGTAAACTGGTTGGTCATTGTATGGAGAACTATACTCATATACAGAACTTGCGAAAAAAGTTAACAGTGATCGGATCATTTGTCTCCGAGTCATTACTTAAGCGAATTTGAAAAATGAAGTTTTGAGAGAAACGTGTTTTAAGATAAGCTCATGGAGCGGATTGAACTGAGCCGCTACACTTTAGAAGGCTGTAACTCAAAAACTATTTGAGATGTCGATTTAAAATTTTAGTAGATCGATGTTTTCTAAATTACACGCTAGGTATTTTAAACCCATAGGTGGCGAAATGGTATCCACACGTTTCAGTAGACTGTACATGCACTATTATATATTATTTATACCTCAAATATTCGATGATCTACAAATGAGCGAGAAATTCTGTTTTTTAACTATAATTTTCACCGTAAACTTTTCGTAGAGCTATTTGGGAAGGGAGTCTAGATGGCTTGGGTGCCAAAACGATTTCCTTATGCCAATGGCGAAAGCAATTGATGGAATGAGGAAATTGGCAGTGCAAAAAAGACAGTGTAAACAAATGCCACATGAGGCACCACTGTATGTGCGCATACCTAACATACATACATATATAAACTATTTGTATATTGGAATTAAGGAGCATGAAGCCTAAGAGAGACAGTGAAAAAGGTAAAAAGAGTTAGGCAAAAGACAACAACAACAACAATGAGCATTAGAAAAAACTACACTACTTTAAAGGCAATTTCCTACACAAGCGCCAATAGATGCGATCGCTAGAGGCAACAATCACAACCAAACGGTGAGAGTGCGCACACTATGGAAAATTAGTTTTCTCTTGTGATCGCTTGCAACAAGAATAAAAATAACAAAAACAAATGGCAAGGCAAAGAAAATCACTCGAAAGTCAATGTTCAAAAGCAAATACACACACATAAACCTAGCTGCAGCTAAGGAAAAGCGCATGCAACAAGAAAGTGCATGCAGTGGATAAATGAAATGCTGCATGCAACACTGGTGAGAAGCGCGCGCGCAGTCAGCGCACAGTCCGCGATGGAAAGTAAGGAAAAGCAAGTAATCGCAAAATCACTGAGAAAATAGCAAAAACAAAAAATAGGCAAAGACTACGACTAGCCCAACGCGAAAGCGAAAGAAGTTACAGCAACAACAAGAAGCGCAAAAGTAGTAACAACATTGACTAGCTGATCAACAGTGACTGCCTACCAGTGACATTCCCAGCGCTGCGCATATTGTTGTTGCATAGAGTGCCGTGAGCACTTTTAGCGAGAGTAACTATTGTTGGCATTGTTGTTGCTGTCGCAGTCGCTGTCGCTGCTGCTGCTGTTGTTGCTGCTGCTGCCGTCGCATAACGTAACAATCCAGTAT